AACTGGACCTTTTAAACAAACGTATTCTTCGATTTTTTTTCAAGGATTTTAACTCTGAGTACAATAATTTACTTAAAAAGGCAGGAACTGAAAACCTTAAGGACAAGCGTTTACAAAACATGATTCTTACTATTTTTAAATGTCTTCATTTTTCTGATTATCCAAGATACTTAAAAGATATGTTTCGTTGACGCTCTAGCACCTATTTTTTTAAGAGGACATAATATGCTCTGTTTGCCCAAACCATTGACCACTTCTTATGGTATCAATTCCTTTAGTTACTTGGCAGCAACATCTTGGAATTCTCTTCCTGACCATTACCGCACTATTTCTGAGTTTACTTCTTTTCGACGACTGATATCTACTGGGAACAATAATTTACTTAAAAGGGCAGGAACTGCAAACCTTTCTACATCATAATTTGCGAGTTAGTTGTCTAGGTAGTTAGTTATCTTACTTGTTATATAGAATTAACTTTTTATTATAATTATCTACTAATGTAGTTGGCTCGAAGATATTAGCACTTGAGTGCTACACTGTAAATTCGAGGGTAAATGAAGTTTATTGATTGATTTATTGATTGAATCATTATTCCCTTATAATTTTTTATTATTATTTGGTAAGTTTCATACCTGCATGTCAATGTCCAGTAAACAAACTTTGCCTGTATCCAGAACATCTTGAACTGTCTTTTTACTGTAACATTCAGGATCAAAAGAAACCATTATAAAATATGGTCTTAAGAGCTTCGTTTTTGACCATTTTAATGATTAGTATGGAGTATGAAGTGTCATAACCTAAGGCCTGTTTATATGAGGTGAGCCAGCGCGGTTAGCCAGGCCCAGGCCTGCTTTGCTGGGCTGGCTTGGCTTATGCCTTCTTACCTTATAAAATTTGCATTATAGTTATAAAGGCACTGGCTGGCCAAGATCTCGGTTGTTCGAACCTTTAAAATACTAAGAAACTCAGTCTTCAAGAAGTCTCTGTAGTGATCCCAAGAGCAATAAAGTATCCAAACAAACAGATTTAACTCAATCAATTTCATTGCAAACGTAACATGGCCGCCGCTATCAAAAGCACATGATTTTTCCTATCCCAGCATACTTAGCGGCCTAATACATTACATCTCTCCTTTCCTCAGAAAAATGCTCCTTTACATGAAAATAGAAATCTCCACTAACAATAAAGTCAACTATACTAACGATAAAGTCTCTTCTTCTAAAATACGCAAACAGAAACTTAAATGTTCAAACTGTACATAGTTCTGAAGAGAGAATCAGTGTTCATGTTCCCCAAACAAAATTAACAACATAGTCTCTTAATCTCTCTGGCAATCTCCTTGTCCTCTGGGATCTCAAATTCCTTGATGGCTCTGGTGCTGCTCCAACATTCTCCTGCAGATCAGGGCACTCCCCTCTATCCAGCAGCCCGGCAGTCGATTCTGGTACGGTTGGTTGGTAAGGTGATGGCACAGGGTCTAATTCCTGCTGGGGTGTGGGGGATGTTGACACAGAGTCTGACCCTTGTTGGGGTGTGGGATCTCCCTCTTTAATGTATTGCTTCACATGACTTGTGTTTCTGGAGTACTGGTTCCCTGTTGGACTCTCTACTACGAGGCTGTTTCTGGTCTTGCTGACGACCTTAAAGGGGTTTGGGTTGAGTTCCGTGCTGAGTTTGTTACTCTTGTCTTGTTGGACAAGAACTTCATCACCCAGTTCAATGCTGGAGGGACTGGCCCTGGGGTGTATGTCTCCATGGTTTGTTCTCTGCCTGAGCAATTTGTAGTCGTTTCAACAGTGATCGATTCTGTCTCTTGACCTCTCCGTTGGCTTGGGCTCACTTGGCAGTAACTTTCTGATATATAATACTATGCTGTTCACAATATTCTCTAAATTCATTCGACTTAAATTGTGAACCATTGTCTGACTTGATGGTATTTGGCAGCCCATGTCTGCAGAAGGTAACAGCCAGACGGTCTATGATCTTTTCAGTGGTAGTGGACTGCATAACCTCGACTTCGTAAAATCGGCTGAAGTAATCAACAATGACTAATAATGAATGTCCAGATGGTAGTGGTCCCATTAAATCTACTGCTAAGTCTTGCCAGGGTCCATCAGGTAATGAGGTGGATCGAATAGGTTCAGGGGGATCTGGCCGTGCCACCAACTGACACCCATGGCATGCTCGGCAATGTCTCTCAGCCGCTTTATCCATCCCTGGCCACCACACCTTGGTTCTGAGGTTCTGTTTGGTGCCAACCACGCCCAAGTGGCCTTTATGAGCAAGTGCTAAGGTCCTTGGCTACAGCTTACTAGGAATGATAATTAATGCGTGTAGCTCTAAGCACGAGCTGACCAATGACACACAACTCCCCCGCCACTGTCATATACTGCCTACACTTTTCAAACCGCACCGTTGCAATAGCTTTCCTCACTTCTTTCAGCTCTTCATCATCAGCAGAGGCCTCTTCTATCTCATGGATTGTGAGTGCCGTTAGTGTTGCACTTACAGCAACAAACCTAACATACTCTTCAGTACACCGCTGGTGGTTGTCAGGTTCAACCTTCCTATGAAGTAGTCGGGACAATGGATCAGCAATGTTCGCGCTCCCAGGCCTGTATATCACACTGAAATTATATGGCTGTAATCTGAGAACCCGTCGATCTATCCGTGCACATGGTCTTGACCGTGGACCATATATGACCTCTAAATGCTTGTTGTCAGTCTCTAATATACAATAACAATAATTATAATAATATACAATATTTATAGAGCGCTAATTCCCAATGGTCCAAAAGCGCTTAACATAATAAAAATAACAACAAAATCCTAAACCTACAAAACTACAAAACTACATTGTCATCCTATAAAAAAATTCCCAATGATCCAAAAGCGCTTTACATAATAAAAATAACAACAAAATCCTAAACCTACAAAACTACAAAACTACATTGTCATCCTATGAAAACATCATCATTCTATACGACAACAACATAACAAATTTTAAAAAGCCAAGTCTTAAGCTTAGATTTAAAAGAAGAAAGGGAATTACAAGATCTAAATAAGTTCGAATGGAAGCGCATTCCAAACAGAAGGTGCAGAAATAGTAAAAGACCGTCCACCATAGGTTTTAAGATTAAATTTAGATGTAGAAAGCAAAAATTGATTAGAGGATCTAAGAAGTCTACCAGGTGTATAAGGCTTGATGAGATCAGTGATATAGCTAGGTGCAGCAACATGTAGTGCCTTAAATGTAATTACCGCAATTTTGAAAGTTATCCTTTGTTCAATTGGTAGCCAATGAAGTTGAATAAGCAACGGCGTAACATGTCCATATCTACTAGTAAGGTGAATAAGCCTAGCAGCACTATTTAGGACACTCTGGAAACGTTTCAAGATACATTTAGGCTGACCGAAGAGCAATGAGTTACAATAGTCGATCTTTGCAGTAACAAAGGCATGAATTAGAGTTTTACACGTATCATAAGAAAGAAACTTGCGAATCTTAAAAATATTGCGTAAATGAAAAAACGAAGACTTGCAAACAGCAGTAACATGCGGCAACATCGATAGAGAGTTATTAAAAATAACCCCAGTAGTTGAACAGTCAACAGTGTCAGAGGCAATCACCAGGTTTTTTAACGCAGGACGTGGGCGATAGGATGATGAAAAAACTATAATGAACTTCATCCCATACACATAGACATGGAATCTCTCACACGCCCACACCACACCTAGTGCCTCCTTCTCTGTCTGGGAATATCTCTGCTCACATCCGGTCAAACTACGACTCGCATAACATACCGGTGTCCATGCACCGTTCTGCTCCTGTACGAGAACAGCGCCCAGCCCGACTGGACTGGCGTCCGTGATTATCTTGGTGGGTGCATTCTTATGGAAATATGCCAAAGTGCAAGCTTCTGCCATCTTCTCTTTGAGAATTTCAAAGGACTTCTTCTGCTCTGGTTTAAGTTCGAAGGGTGTCTCTTTCCTTGTCAGCCTTCGCAGTGGTTCGGATAAAGCGGCAAAGTGAGGTATGAACCGGCTACTGTGGTTGGCTAAACCCAGAAAGGTACGTACATCTGACGCACTCTTTGGTTCTTCCACCTCTAATACTGCTTTAACACAATGTGCTGTAGGACCAATGCCTTTCTCTTAAAGCAGCATAGCTATGAATGTTAAGATTCAACTTGAACGTCTGTGACAGCCACAAGTTTCTTAAACGCAACTTGAACTTTAACTTCTACCAGAAACTTAAGAGAATTCCGTTACAGATCGATCCACGACAAAAGAGCGCACATTGGTATGTTGAAAAAACGTATACAACCTGAAGACCTGTTTATCCAGTTCTTGTCTTGTCAAAGAAAGTTCTAGAAAACATTACGTCATATTCTAATTGGGTCCTTGAAATAAACAAATACTCAAGTAAATTAAGGCATGGGTCCCTAATGATTCAGTCAAAAAGTGATGGGGGTGGTTTATCTCTGAGCACTTTAGCAGTAAAAATATGAGACTTTGCCAGATACATACATGTATGGTTTCTGTTAATTAGGTGATTTTCAGTTATGCACATGTTGTCACGTGACTCCACACGGCCAGAAAACAATAAAAAGTCTTTGAACAAAAATGGCAACACTTTTTGTTGTGAGTTGTACCCTTCACTGGTTCAATTATTCCCAGGTCCAACAGCTCTGTGGTCTTATCTCGGGTCTTTCCTCTCAGATTAAATTGTATACTTCTATAAGGCTGTGCAATAGGTTTTACAGTGGAGTTTCAGTCTATATCCGGAGACATCAATTTTCCGACACCTTCAAATACGGGTACTGCTGTTTTAAACTGTCAGCTTTACTTGTTACCATAGCAATGTTAATGCCAACTTTTAACACTCCCAGTTCTGTGGCTGTTATCTTTCCAAGCAGTGACATCCCTCTACCTTTAATTACCAAGACCTCAGCTTTGATGGATCTATCACAAACACTCACTGTACACTTAAAACTACCCTAAACTGGCAGTGGCTGACTAGACGCATATGGGTACAGCTTCTTGTCTGGGGAAGGAGCTTGTGATTCACATTTCACTACCTTCACCTTTAGCTGTTCCCACGTCCCCTCGTCAATTATGTTGCTGTTCGCCTCAGAGTCTATTAACATCTTAAGGTCTACTCCTCCTACTTGTACGGTGACCATTTCTGAGTGTTCTCGTTCTGTAATACTGAATGCATAGTCATGCTGGGGCCCAGGGTCATTGTCATCGGGTTCCCTCCTAACCTGACGAGCATATGACTTTGTCTTGCAAACTTTTCCAAAATCATCTTTCCCGCGACACTTTCTACATGTTGGGCACTGGGGATCACGACCGAAATGTTCTAATAAACCACATCTATAACATATCTTATCTCTCCCTTGGAATCGCCCTTGTGTGATAGTACTCGGATTGTTACTTCTCTCATTGATTCTATTGATACTTTCTGATTCTTCCCCCTTTACTGAAAGGGCAGCCAGTTGGGTTTTTATCTTTTCGCATTTTTAGGTAACCTCTAGGGTGCGTGTTAAGTTTAGTCCGTGGCCTTCTTCAAGCAATTTTCGTTTGATGTAGGTGGAAGTGCACTTATTTAAAACTGCATCTCTTATCTGGTTGTCGGTATCAGTGCCAAAATCACAATCTTTATCTGCTTTCCTTAAGCGAGTGACAAACTGTTGAACTGTCTCACCTGGGTTTTGCGAGATCCGATAAAAGGTCTGGCGGGCGAATGCTGAATTTACCCGTAGCACGAAATAGGCGTTGAGAGCTTCAACAGCACTGGCGTAATTTGTAGCATCACCGGTTTCAGTTAAGGTGGTAAATATCTCCTGTACATCAGGCCCAGCCAGGTGGAGTAACATTGCTCTTTGCCTCTGTTTAGTTGCTGTGGTTCCTTCGCTTATAATAAGCCCTTTCCCGTCGGCGTACAGTTCGAATGAAGTTAACCACCTCGTCTTTTATGGGAAAATTAGGGGCCAATCGTCGCTGGATCAGAGAGACAATCGAACTTTGGTAACAGGTTCTTTTCCATTTTTTTGTCCTCGTCGCCAGTGTAGTGATCGAAAGAGCAATAAAGTATCCAAACAAACAGATTTAACTCAACCAATTTCATTGCAAACGTAACATGGCCGCCGCTATCAAAAGCACATGATTTTTCCTATCCCAGCACACTTAGCGGCCTAATACATTACAGACTCTTTTTTGCAATGGTATATTTTAATCTCTTTGTCAGTAATTAAGTCAATTTTTTTTTCGTGGGCAGTAAATAGTAGAGGGGGTGAACGCATATTCGAGGCTGGGTGCTTATTAACTTTTCCTGCTTTTAGGGTGGGTGGTTATTCGAGGTGGGTGCTTATTCCAGGTTGAGCGCTTAATCGAATAAATACAGTGATGGTACCTACACTCACCTTGTCCCATAGAGGTTTTGATTATAAACTGCTGATTCAATGAAATCACTGGCATCAATGCTTTTTTGCACTGCTTCACGGTTAGTAAAGTGATACTCTGAAACAAAGACACATGCAATAATAATAAAAAGTAAAATGGGACACTGCTTTAAATACCACAGAAGGTTAAAGTATTTGTAGGGCCGACCTTTAAACTGGAATATACGTATATAAAATTTTGAATAAGAGCACTTAACAATAAACAACTGGTGACCTTTGCCATTTATTTTTCACAGCTCCAGTGTATGTGACACTTGGAAATAAATTTCTGTAACAAACTAAGCAGCAAATTATAAAACATGCCTTTACATTCAAGGTATGACTGTGTTACAGCAAGCTAGCCGTTTTATCCAGAAACTGCAAAAATACATTGTGAAGATGTGACGTTTTTTTAACAACCATCATCGATTTAAATAAACAAATTCATAGAAAATGAATGTAAAAGGGTTGGTGTAATTGTAATGTCAGAAAAAACTATTACAGAATTTCCAATTTTCTGGGGTACTTGTTTTTATACCAGTATTTCTAAAGGTATAGGATGGTCAGAAAGAGAAAAGAGGGAGTCAGAGTTTCTGGGACACTGCTCAGTAGCTTTTTTACTCAATCCAGTGCTCCTAATAGTAGTACTCCAATCTACAAGTCATTATCGAGCAAAGAACACAATGTCAAGTGGTAAAAAAGCTATAATTATTTATAGTCAGGTATTCTTTTATTAATTATGCTTCCAGTTAAGTAAAACTTGCTACATTAGGGCAGATATCTGCCTTGTAACAAAGGCATCCACGTTGAGGGGAGGTCTCTTTCGCAACCTGTTTTTTCTATGCAGTGTTAGTTAATGTGTATGGTAGAAATGAATAACTAACCAATAGGTGCGGTTACACAGGACACTTTTAATGTC